GTGCTTGGCAAGCATGCTTCGCTGGTTCAGGTTGCTCATGACAGTTGCGCAATGGCAAAGCTCACGACAGGTGCACAAGGGCAAAAATCTGGTTGTAATGCTCATGGCAGGTGCGCTACTGGCGCATGCTGGAGTATGGTCAGGGTGTGAATCGGTGGTCAAGGCCGTTGAAATGGTCAAATCCAACGACAAAAAGAAGGTTGTTGCAGCTTGGCCTTCACTGCCGCGGCAGATCCGGACTCACGACCGTTCCGCGTGCGGTAGACCCGAAGGTCACACGGGCGGGAAAACACACTTGGTAACTCCCCGCAGGTGAGTAGTGAACCAACTTCACCATGCTGCCAAGGCACTCTCTCAAGTCACCGGACATGTCTGAAACTTGTTGTTGGTTGCCTTAGCTGTTCAAGTCTCGAGTACGCATGTCACAGATAGACTGCAACTTGACACAGCGGGAAAAAACAGCGCTGCTTGAGTGGTCGAAGCAACCGCCTGCAAAAACCACTAAAATTGCAGGTACGCTGGGATGATCAGTCCCAGTTTCGCCGCATATGGCAAGTGTCTTCATTGGCGGGAGACTTGCCATAGCGCTCCTGCCCCGTGCTGAAAGCTATCTTAGCGACGAGCAAACGGAATGCCTCAAAGAGATCCGTCACTGCCCAAATTAAGGGCCCTTTCACAAGCCGAAGGTCATGAGCAATACACGGGGTATTCGTCCTTAGCAAGGCCTTGGCAGGCCCAACCCTTGAATCTTTAAACTCCAAACGCCAACTTGCCGTCTGAAAAGTTGATGCGGCACCTTTGAAATGAAGTCTCCCGTGCAAACCGCTATGTGAGCAATGATCAAACAGAAAGAATCAAACAGATCTGCCACTGCTAGAAGGGACCTTCACAGGCCGAAGCTAAACGCCAACTTGCTAGCTGAAAGGCTGATGTGGCACCTTTGAAATCAGGTTTGGCACACACACACACCCAAACCCACACCCCCTCGCCTCGTGTATGGCTGACACGGCCTTAAGTGCTTAGTGCGTTGTTACAAATCTCCGGCACAGGATTGGTTTCGGCTGCTCCAGACTCAGGCCCTTGCGGAGACATCGTCCAAATTTGGCACCCCTGCCGATCAAACCTTTGCTATGCGCGCAGTACTGGGGTTGATGCCTTGGTGCCAGCCAAGCAGCCATTTGGGTGTCAAGCCTTACCGGTGAGCAACGCATTTGCATGACCCAAAGAGCGGGGGCTGTGCCAAGCTGTGGTCCGGGCTGCATATGTCCCGGTTCACAGCGTTTTCAGCGCCTGGGCTGGCCCTGCCGCATTCGCCCGCCTCTGTCCCTGAAGGCACCGAAATTGCGAGCGTAGACGGCCAAAGCCTGCAGCAACGCCAGCTATCACAACCCACCACGGCCCCTCCCTGCCTGCTGGTTCACCTCCACTGCAACGGTCTCAATCGCCATGCCAGCGTACCTGAGCCACGACTCGGTGAAATATCTGGCGCAAACCTGGTAGTTTGCAAATCCACCCGACTGTGGACAGCGCAACTTTTTCTTAATGGCTTGCTTGGTTGCACGCCCAGCTGCTCGGTGTCAGCACAACTTGCGCTTTGCAAGTGTTGGGTCTCAGGTCAAGGACATTTCCGACAAAGGCCTTTGGCTGGTATTCAGCCAAGGGCGTGCAATCTCACGGCTTCAGACGTGCTGGTGGCCTCAATCGATGGGCCTTGGCAGCCAGAGTGCAAGCAAACGTGGTGTAAACAAAAAGTGTTCAGAGCGCGGTTGAGTGGCAGCTTCTTCGCAGCGGCCCACTTGCAAAACTCATCGAACAGCACTTTGCCGCCTCCGTTCGCGTCCTTGGGCTCAAGCAAAGGTCGCATGCCTTGATCAAAAGTTCAGCGATGTGCAAACTGCTGCCCAGGATCCATGAAGTTGAACCTTACACGACGGAAGCCCTGGCTCAACCCATGAAGCCCCTACACGACAGAAGCCCCGCCCATGTCACAGCCATGGGATCCTGAGGCGTCCACTCGTCATGTGCTTCGGAGGGCGTCAGCTTGAGACCCAAGAATGAGATCCCGGAGCGAAACTCATTCATGTCCTCCAGGCAAGGGGTCGCAGGTGAAACGACCCGTGCAGAGTTAGAAGCAGTCCATGCGACGGTCGTTGTCCGTATCAACAACCCTTGGCCGTAGAAGCTGCAACGGCATTTGCAATGAAACATACTCAGCTGCCATGTGCATCGCTGAATCAAGACAAGCTTCTCATAGAGCGAGTACAGCTTGTTGAAATAGAACCTGACAATGATTGACAATTGGCAACAGAAAGGTGGAAGTGTTGAGCACGTGGCATGTTTCGCAGCAGGATCTGCAAGTCAGTCCTGACCATGTGAGCAGCGAGCATGGCACAGGGCATTGACTGTGGCTCAATCTCAGCAAAGGCTCTTGTGCACATAGCCGTCAGGATTGCGCAAGGTGGCTTTGTAGGCTCGCCTATCATAGATTTCAACCCAGCCGGGATGTCCATTCAACACTTTTGTGTCTCCGCCGAGAAGCATCAGCGCCGGCTTGTTGTTCATCTCCGGGAACCTCTCCTGGGATCCGTATCCCTGGTCTGCCCCGTTCCCTCTTGGATCTTCTCGGCTCAGGCCCGGCTGCAGCCCAGGCGCCGTGACACAGCCATCGACCTCGGCCAGACTCACGATCCCATTCCCATTGTAGTCCTGGGCGGCGGCTGGGCAAAACCTTGCTCCCCATGGGTGCGAACACACACACACACACACACCCAGCACTTAACCACCCAACACGAGGAAGGTGGCTAAAGAAGCCTCCCAGCCAAGGAGCCATGGAACGCCAAAGGCTTTGGAGCTGGCGCTTGTCCTCACCGCTAATTGAAGCTTGGGAAGGCGACACGCAGCCTGAAATGCATGCCGAGCCTTCAGCAAGCTGTGCATCTTCTTCTCAGCAACTTCGAACTGGTTCCTAGGCTTGCGTGCTGGGCTGGAACTTGTGCCAAGCGACACATCAATGCTGAGCTCTGCCGAGCTTTGCTTCCAAATCGCTCAAGCTGCGTCTTTGCAGAATGACTGTGGTACACTGCACCCTGCACGGGGAAAATGCAGGCTTGAGCCGCGCGTTTGATTGGCTACCCGCCTTCTGGTGATGCGTCCTTGAAGAAGGGGATGCGGCCATCGTTGGCGTGCTGTAGACAGATGCATCGACAGGGCACTGCACCTGGTGCATGCACCGGAATCCCGTGTCAACAAGTGGTTCAGGTCTACATCATCGTGTCTGAACTTTTGGTCTGCCATCTCAGTGTCGGGCTGAAGCCACCCAGCGGCAGAACTCTTCAAACAGAACGAGCCCGCCACGATTCCTGCAATTCCAAATGACAAAGGCACAGATGGGTCACACCAGGCCTATCCAAGCTGTCGAAAAGCGAGCGTGGATTCACAACCTTAGTCACAGCCGTGAGGTCGCAGCACAGGCTACTCATTTGGAGCCCTGCTGAGCTCATTCCGAGCGAGGACAAGCCTTGCCGGAACTCGTTGAAGGTGAGGCGTCGATCGCCATCGGCGTCAAGGCCCTGAAACACCTCGGGCGACTCGCGCTGAGAGCCGAACAGAGCGGAACGCAGTGAGCCCTTTGAGACTCTGAGAGCCAAACGCTCCACACCTTGTTGAAGAAGATAGCGTTCCTAGGCCAAGGCCACAAGAAACCGGTGAAGCCTGTGACGGTGTCGCCACTCCAGCGAACACATCAGGGAACAAGGCAACAGCAAGGACACGGATGACACGGAATGCTGCTGTGTCTCCGCAGAAGAACGGGGAACTCACGCTTGGTGACGTAGCTGTCATGGTTCAAATCACTGGCCTTGTAGGCACGCATCGTTGCCTGGCGAGTGCCAGGACGGACTAAGCTGCTAAAAAACGGACTGCTGGGGCTGGGGGCCAGACGGGTTTGTTGTTCAGCTGCGGGAAGCACTCCACGATCCAACGGTCGATCTCGGCCAGGCTGACGATGCCGTTTCCGTTGTAGTCGAGGTTGTCCCAAGCTTTCCACAACTGCGATTTACCGGTTTCAGACCCGGATGTCCAAAGCTTGAACTTCTGCTCCAGGTCATCAAACTGACCACGGGTGTGGAGGCTGGGCTGGGGCTGGCCTCGTGGGGTCATCTGCTGCATGCCGGCTTGTGCCAATGACACGCCACGGGTTGGGAAAGCCATTGTTGAGCTGCCCAACACGGCCTCAAGAGGAGGCAAAGGAGGCAGAGGCGGGTGAAATCCCATTCAGCAACCTTTACGCAATCCATTCCCAAATGCATCCGAGCAGCCCCCCTATTGGGAGTCTCAGCCATGGTGTACCCGCCCACTGGCATGCTTCCGCTCTTCCACTTGGGGGATGGAACCGTTGCTTCAGCCTGTGGTGCCCGAGCCAAAAGCTCACGCAGCCCTCGCACAAATCAAATCATGTATTTTCTCAATGGCCGGGCAAAAGGAGGCAGGCACGTCCTACGCACGACCAATACGGCTTGACAATGGCTATGTCGACTCAAGCGCTTGAGCAGTCTCAACTATCTCGTTGCGCATCTTTGCGCATGGCGCACGAAAGTGCCAAGTGCATGCCGCCAATGCCGGCAAACAGTTCCAGAACACGAACCTGAGCGTGGCTTGGGCTTGGATCTTTTGATGCTTTGACTTCCATGGCGCTCTGAGCCGCAAGCACGCGGCACTTCATCGCCAACGTCGGCTGCAGCTGCCATACTCACATCTGCAGCCATGCCGGACGGCCCGCACCGGCCGAAGCAAGCAAACTGATTTACTGATTTGGTCACACCCAAGCGGAGATGAACGATGCTCAAGCCCTCAACGTCTCAATTTCACTGAATTGGCTGGCTATTTTGCAAGTGGGAAGGGGGCGGCAACAAGGAAGCCAGCACCTTGTGCGTGATACATTGACAAATTGAAGCAATTCTGCCTGGCACGCAACCTGCGTGCAAAGCTCAGCGAGATCTTTTACAAGAGCCTGACGCTCTCTGACAAAGGGTATGCCTATGGCACCCCGCAGGATCCGAGCAAACTGGAGGCGTTTAAGCCCAATGAGCCCGGCGTTTGTCGGGCTCAACTAAGAGTGTCGCATGCAAGTGTGAACCTCCAGTTGCGGAGGCACGTACTGAGGTCAACCATCGAAAATTCCGCGCATCTGCATTGCAAAACATGCAGCTCACTGAAACAGCCAGCTGACAAACTCTTGGTAATCCTGAGGCCAGCCCATCCATGCCGCTGAATATTCGAATCACTCTCCCGAGGCACAAGCAATAACGCCATCTCCATTGCAGTCTGCATTTTCGAAGAGGCGGCGGACGTCCTGCAGCGTGTGAAAAATGTTTGCCAGGCGAATCTGTGATTGTGGCACGGGTAGCAAAAGCAGCCTGGTCCCGGATTTTGGGATCTATTCTTCCTTGGCACAGCTTGGCAGGGCGGCACATGACATGGGGGCAGTTCGTTGCGTGTTTGGCATGCCCCCCCCCCCAGGACGCAGGACCTTGCTAACTGCAGCCGAGAAACGCAATACTGAGAGGAGCTCCCTCTCAGAGATCTTGCCGTCGTTGTTGACGTCCCACTTGGCAAAGGCACTCCTGAGCAGAAGCGCGACTTCGTAGCATCGCCCTTTCCGCAACGCTGCCCTCAGCCTCACGGTTCGCTCATCATCGGAGCCATCACCGCGCACGCCAGCGGCCTCGCTACGACGAACGCAGAAACCACTCTTACTGCTGACAGCTAGGCTGCTGGCCGCTCGGATGAGCCCAGAGCCACTGAGGGCTTGTCTGGCACGGCCTGCCAGCAAAACATACGAACCGAGGCCGAAGAGTCCGAAGGCTCGGAGCACTTTCCGGGCCTTGCTCCCCAATGTCCGGAATCCTTCTGGCAAGCTCTGGATCAGGGGCAGCCTCGGGAGCCAAATCGATGGTGCCCTGCAGCAGGCGCATGAACTCGTTGTACTGCAGCACGCCGGCGCTGTTGCGGTCAAAGTAGGCCAGCATGCGGGCAGCCTCCTCCTCTGTGACCTGGGCCCGTGCACGGTCGATTTCATGGCCCACCGCCACTCCGGCACCCTCCAAGGCATGGAGAAACTCCTCCAGCGTCACGAGGCCGTCGTCATTGAGGTCCACGCTCTTGAACATCTTCTGCATGTTTGAGCGGCGCTCGAACAGGGCCTCCCGCAAATTGGTCACCAGCTGGGCCTCTCTTCGGCTAAGCTGGCTGACCCGCTGCTGCAACACCAGTTGCCGGAGGTTCTCCTTTGGCTTGCTTTGCTGCATCAGCTCCCTCTTCCTCTCCTCCCGAGCTGCAGCAGCAGCATGGGGCCCGCTAGGTCTGGTGTCAATCGTGTCACCGAAAGTGCTCTGGGTGGTTGCACCGGCTGCACCGGCTGCACCGGCAGAGCCAGCTGCGCCTGCACTGGCTTTTGGGGCGCTGAAAGCGCTGAGGAAGTGTGGCACGGAGACTGTTCCATCTCCGTCAGGGTCCAGGCCAGACAGGAACTTGATGGTTCGAGGAGTCGAGATGGACAACCGGAGCTGCTCGGCAAACGCTTGCAGCACACTGGCATCTACAGTTGGCAAGTTGCTCCCATCCCGAGCATTCGCCACTGCTGGGACCTGAGAGGGACAAACAAACAACACACGGAGAAACACAGGCACAAAGCAAACCAAAGGCAAACAAACCAAAAGCAAGCAAGCAAGCAAGCAAGCAAGCAAGCAAGCAAGCAAGCAAGCAAGCAAGCAAGCAAGCAAGCAAGCAAGCAAGCAAGCAAGCAAGCAAGCAAGCAAGCCCGCCAGCAAGCAAGCAAGCAAGCAAGCCAGCCCGCCAGCAAGCAAGCAAGCAAGCAAGCCAGCCAGCAAGCCAAGCCAGCCAGCAAGAAAGCAAGCAAACAAACACACAAAGAAAACACACACACACACACACACACACACACACACGCGCACACACACACACACACACCCACACGCGCACACACACGCCAGCACAGAGCAGCACAGCACAGCACAGCACAGCACAGCACAGCACAGCACAGCACACAAACGCATTTTCTCATATTATGAATGAAGGAAGAAATCATGAAAGAAGGAAGCAAGCAATAACATGCAAAACAAACACAACCTTGCGACCCATGCTGATTTCAGCAACTGGCCTGCATTACCTCTGACAACGCCTCTGCCGGAGACACGCAGAGCTTTCGCAAGCGCCCTTTCAATGTTGTCGTCACCTCCTCGTCGCTGGCAGAGTCTTCCACCTTTGTTTCTTTGAACATGTACTCGGCCTTCTCAAAGATTCTCGTCTGTGAAGTCGGCTTGCACGTGCTGGTGGCCTCAGCACCGATCCAAGCAAAAGCGATCAGCGCCGTTGCGATGGATGCAAGCAAAGCACAAGCTGAGCTCCAGGCAGGAATCGTGGCTGAGGGATCGCGGATAGCTGTAGGGTCACGAATAGCGGTGGTTAAGTCCCCGCTGCCCCCTGTGTTGCTCGGCTCCGGGGCTTTGGGCTCAGCTTTGGCTTGCAAGGCCCTTGCCAGCTGGGCCTTCTCCTCCAGCTGAGCTAGCTTGCTTGCAGCCTCCTGAAGCTCTGCGTCCGGCAGCTGAGCATCCCTGGCCTCCTCCAGGGCTGCGCGCAGCGCCACGGAGCCCTCGGAGCCCTCGGAGGTGGAGCCCGCGGCGGCCAGGCGCCGGCGAGCCGTGGCCTGGCGCTCCAGCCGCGCCAGCCGCGCCTCCGCCTCCGCGGCCGCGGTGGACCCGGCGGCCTCCGCGGCCTCGATGGCCGCACGCAGCGCCTCCAGCGGGGCCTCGCCGGCCTCGCAGGCGCTCACGGCCCGGCGCAGGCGCTCCTCCGCCTCCGCCTTGGCGTCCAGCGCCTGAAGCTGGCTGATGGCCTCCTGCAGTGCTCCGGGTGCGATGCCTGCGTCGTTGGCCTGGCGCAGTGCTTGCCGGATCTTGTCTGCATCTCCTGTCGCAAGGGCAGCCGCTAAGTCGGCCTTCGCCGCCTCCTGTGCCGCCTTCTTCCTGACAGCGTCCACCAGAAGCTTGTCCTCGGCGCTGTCCAGGCCAGCAGCCTCTGCTTCGCGCAGGCTTCCATCAATGTCCCCGTTGCCTTCTAGAGCTTTTTGTAGGCTCGCACGGGCTGAAGCGCGATTCTCTGCTTGCTGCAAGCGGTGTTTTGCTTCGTCCAGGTCGCCCACTCCCGCTTGGGTGGCACGCTCCAACGCTTCTCGCAGCCGGGCCGGGTCGTCCGATGACATGGCTGCTGCCAAGTTGTTCTGCGCCAAGACCTTAGCCTCCTCTTCCTTGAGAGTCCTGACAGCTTCTGCCGTGTCCTCATCCTCTAGCCCTGCCTTGCTTGCAGCCTCCAGCGCGGCTCGAAGGGCATCGGCATCTCTAGAGCGAAGCGCAGTATGTATCATCTCTCTGGCGCTGTCCAGCCTCGCACGCTCCATCATGGCCAGCCGCTCCTGCTCCTCAACTCTCTCCTTCTCCTCCTTGAGCCTTTGACTCTCGGCCGCCTCCAAGGCGGTTAACTTCGCCGTGGCCTCTGCCAGTTCCTCGCCCAAACTTGCGGCCTGGCCCTGCCGAATTGCCCCTCGCAGCTCCTCAAGGTCGCCGGATGCCACCGCACTGCTCAGGGCTTCCTTGGCTTTCTGCTGCCTCTCCTTCTGCCGCAACAAATCCCGGCAGCTGTCCACCAAGCTGTCTTCCATGCCTAAGGCTTCTGCTTGGTTGATCGCCTTCCTCAGTTCTTGGATGTCTCCTTGCCTGAAAAGGAAGACGCTGGCACAAGCTCAAAAGGGGAAGGCAGTTCCCCCCCGCCCCCACGCCTGTGGATAACATCTTTCAACACAAAGGGGATGCACGCCAAGCCCCACATGGAGAAACAATCGCTCGCCACACTATCAAGCAAAAGCTTGCTTGGAACCTTGGGGCAGAACTCTATGCCACAAACAACATCCGCGGAACAAGATCTTGAGGTCCCCCCAAGAAAGCCTGCAAACTGCAGGGACAAACACGCAAAGCATCCGCATGCATCCGCCGAGCCACACTGACATCAAAAGAAGCCTTACTACATTACGAGCAACGAACAGTGCGGACTGCCCGCAAGCAGCTTACGAGTCCTCCTTTGTTTCAGCGCCCGAGTCTCGAGTCGTCCCCGGCCTGGCGGCCTCAAGCGCTGCGCGCGCCGCCCGCCGCCGCCGGAGGTCCTCCAGGCGCCGCTCGGCGGGCGCCAGCTCGTCCGGGCGAAGGCCCGCGGCCAGCGCCGCCTCGCACGGAACTTCCGAACTTCCGAACTTCCGAGTGACTCGAAGGGCAAGACACGCGCATCTAGCGGCCCGGTTCCATGTTCTGCCCAATGCTGCCAGGTTGGCGTCGAAAACCATACTTGAGCGGCTGAGACTTTCTAGGATCTGCCTAGTACAACCTGCAGGAGTTTGGGTCTTTGGGCCAGAATGACTCAGAAGGACCCAAGAGCTGTTCGCTTTGAGACAGGCAAGCCTCCAGCTCCGAAATGCTATCGCCAGCCATCGCTTCCACTAACCTCTTCCTGGCTTGTAGTATGGCCTCACGCAGTGCAGCCCCAGTTCCCAGGACACACGAAGCTACATGGCTTCCCAGGCCTCCTCTTCCGCCAGTACGTGTCTTGCCTGTGCCAACTCTTCCTCTTTGAGGCCAACTGCTTCCCCTTTCGCGATGGCACTCCTGACCAAACAAGGCCTGCCCCATCCGGCAGTCAAATCAAACGAGTGTCAATTGCCGCAAGCACAAGAGCAGCTCCTTAGGCTGCTAGGATCGCGCGATGCCACCGCCTCCCTGAGTCTCTTCCTGGCTGCTTCCTGAAAATCGGCACTCTCTCTCCCCGTCTCTCACTCTCTCCCCGTCTCTCCCCGTCTCTCCCCGTCTCTCCCCGTCTCTCCCCGTCTCTCCTCCCCGTCTCTCCCCGTCTCTCCCCGTCTCTCCCGGTCTTTCCCCGTCTCTCCCCGTCTCTCCCCGTCTCTCCCCGTCTCTCCCCGTCTCTCCCCGTCTCTCCCGGTCTCTCCCCGTCTCTCCCCGTCTCTCCCCGTCTCTCCCGGTCTCTCCTCGTCTCTCCTCGTCTCTCTCCGTCTCTCTGTCTCTCTTTCTCTCTTTCCCTCTTTCTGTCTTTCCCTCTTTCTCTCTTTCCTGGAATGCTGGAAAATATTCCTGTGAAGGGAACACCTGGCACGATGCTGCGGATGCTAGTGATGCCGGATGCCGTGCATGGAGGACTGGATGCTGGGAATGCAAAGATGCAAAGGATGCGGTTGCACAGGGTGATAATGCCAGGGCTGGGGTTGAACATGCTGCTGAATGCGTCGGGGATTCCACAAATGTCAGGATTGTAGGGGATGGATGCTTGCTATGTTGGGATGCTGGCGATGCAGATGATGCACAAAATGCTGGAGATGTTGCATTCAAGGTCAGTAGGGTCAGCATGTGGTGCTGAAAGCGCTGGGTTACACGGGTAAAAAGGGGATGCTTTGCGCTCAATGATTGCTGAAAACTTGGGATGGATTGTGAGTGTCGGATGCGTATCTAAGAGCCGTGGGAGTACGGAGTGTGAGGCGCCTCAAGATTGAATCTGCCATTCAAGCGGATAATGCTGGCACTGAGACAGCATGAATGGGGATGGATGGTTACAGGCTGGTTACGTGCAGCGCTCCTGATTCTCAAGCTCCGCCAGCAAGTCCTTGGCTGGGCGCACCTCATCTGCCCCCAAGCCGGCACGCTCTGCAGCAGAGATTGCAGCCCGCAGCTGGCCCATGTCGCGAGAGCTTTGGGCTTGCTGCAGGCGCTTGCGCGCTTTGCTCTTGGCATCATCAGCTGCCAAAGCGGCACGCGCCGGCTGCAGCTCCTTGGCGCCCAGGCCAGCGGCCTCACCCTCGCGGATGGCTTGCTGCAGCGCCTCCGGGGTGCGGCTGACCAGCGCCTTCTGCAGCGCCCGGCGCGCCGCCGCCCGGCGCTCCTCCTCTGCCAAGGCCTGGCGCGCATCCTCGAGGTCCCGGTCGTCCAGCACGCCCTCCGCTGCCGCCAACGCCCGCCGCAGGCCCTCCACATCGCCAGAATCCTTCAGCGCGTGCAGCGCCGCCTCCAGCTGCGCCCGGGCCGCCGCCTGCGCCTCAAGTCGCCGCAGTGCAGCCTCAGCCGCCTCCACCTCGCCCGCCGGCAACTGACCGGCCGCCAAGGCGGCGCGCAGAGCCTCCGCATCCTGGGCAGCGCAGGCAGAGCGGAGCTTCTGAAGAGCCCCTTCCTTCCGCAGCTCCGCTTCCAATGCTGCCCTGGCAGCTTGCACAGCCGGCTCCTCTGGCGACAGCCCTACTTGTGACGCTCCATCCAGAGCCACTTGAAGGGCCTCTTTGTCCCGACTGGCAGTGGCATCTTGCAAACGTCGTCGTGCAACATCCTTCAAATCCTCCTTGTTCAATGCTTGCCTGGCTGCCTGCAGCTCCTCCTCGCTCAGGCCTGCGGCTTCTCCCTCATCCAAGGCGGAACGGAGCAGCGTTCCATCTCCGGATGCCACTGCTTCTGCAAGGCGTCTCCTTGCTGCTGCCTGCCGCTCGGCTGTGTTGAGCAGCCTCTGGGCTCGTGTTACTTCTGATTCTCCGAGGCCGGCGGCCTGCGCTTCAGCAATTGCAGCATGCAGCGCTTTGATGTCTTTGGAAGCTTCAGCCTGACGCAGCTGGGACCGTGCCCGTTCCTTCTGCAACTCCTTCTCCAAGCTTGCACGTGCTGCAGTCAACTCCTCCTCAGGTAGCCCCACAGACTGTGCAAAGTCAATCGCCTCCTTCAGTGCCTCAGGATCTTGTGTCTCGAGCCTTTGCCTGGCCAGGGCCTGGTCCTCCAGCTGGCGCAAAGCCCGGCGGGCGGCAGCGAGTTCCTCTGCCGAGAGCCCGGCCGACTCAGCTTCCACCAGTGCTGCCCTCAGGGCCGCAGCGTCCCCAGCTGCGACCGCGCGCGCCAAGGCTTCGCGGGCTGCCGCCGCGCGGCGCTCCGCGTCTAACCGCAGCGCGTTGGACGCGGCCTGGGCAGCCGCCTCTGCAGCGCGGCGCCGCTGCGCCAGCGTCTCCTCCGCGCGCTGGACATCGAGCCCGGCGGACCGCGCCCCATCGATGGCACTCGCCAAGTCGTCCAAGTCGTCTTCACGCATCGCCTCCTCCAGGCGCTTGCGCGCGGCTTGCTTGCTTTCCTCATCAGCTCGCCTAAAAGGCAAAGTTGGTAAGGACTGCCATGAGTCAAAGAATGCCGTGAAGCAAACAGCCCCGATGTGGACCGAGTGGCACGCGCCGAGCTTCCTGAAGGAGCGAATGGCTTGCACCGTTCGCCTCTCCGGCTTCGATGGCTTGCTGGAGCTTGGGCAAGTTCCTGCGTAGGCTTGAAATTTGTCAGCCGAGCGCCGTAGAACAAACATTATTCAATTCTTGACGTTGCCCTGTTGAACATGCACATTCAGCATGCCTCGCAGCGATTGCTTCTTTCAGTTGCTGCTCTGCTGCATTGCGGTGTGTCCACTCCTCACTCAACGGCGTCAGCCAGTCATGCCACATCAATCATGTTGCACAAACCTTTCTTCATCTCGCCATTGAAACATCCACAAGGGCCCCGGGCAGAAAGTTGAGTTCGGGCGGCTCTGAGTTCAGCCTCATCCAAGCCAGCACGCTCTCCCTGTCGGAGGGCCTGCATCGCATCGCATCGTCACCCCGATGCACTTCCCAAGCCCCGCCTCTTCCAAGCCGGCCGGGTCTCGCGCATGCAAATCCTTCTCTATGGCCGCACGCGCTCGCACCTCAGCGCATGTCATGCTCTGAGGGCATGCTCTGAGAGCCTCAGAGCCTGACACGTCAGGGGCCACAAGGCCATGAGGCCATAAGCGTGCCACTTTTCTTGCCTCCTCCGCGAGGATCTCTCGTGCTGGAATCAGCTCCTGGCAGTGACATTCCCGAGAGGCAAGCATGAAAGTGCAGTCAAGTAGGAGCGTGGCTGCTTCTGGTAGACTTGCAGCCTCTCCATCCTCCAAAGCAAACGCATTGACCCGCACTTGCCCCAACACCAGATGCATCTGGCTGACTGCAATCGCTTCACGCAAAGCCCCGGTGTCGCGGCCTTGGTCGGCCGTACTTCGGGTGGCTGGATTTGCTACGTGGCTCAACTGGGCTGCACACTTTGCATTGCCTCCTGCAATCGTTGTCGAACTTGATCTCTCCACTCCTGCCAGGAAAAGTAAGGGCCAGAACACTACACTGCAAGGCTTTGCGTCCTCACGTGCCAAGGCTTTCCTAGCTTCTGCCAATTGCTCCTGCACTGCTAGAAAAAACTGCCAAATCACAGCCGCGGGATGCGTCTCCTCGCTCAATCCCGCAGCTTCTGCATCCTCAAGCGCCCTGCGCAAACGAGCAGCGCTGCGGGGCTGGTCTTCGAGAGCGTCTTCCAGCCTCAGACATCTGGCCAGTCTGGCGATATCTGGCGATATTGCCCAGATCCACTTTTCTCAAATTTTCTATGCAACATTTTGCAGCTCCCCAACCGGTTGGGCGCCGGGCGCATCTGCCGCAGCTTCCCTTTCTTCGAGCTCTTGAAGCTTCAGACGGGCGGCCTGCGCACACGCCACACGCGATCGGTTTTTTTTGCCTCCAAGTGGATGATAGTGGATGCCTTCAAGTCGCTGGAGTCCAAGCCAGCGTCCTCTGCGGCATGGAGCGCCTTTCGGAGTGAGGCCTGACAGTCTGACAGCCACACATTGGCCTTGAGGAGCCTCAGCCCGCGGCGGAATTGTTGCCGGCCAGCGCCCCAGACAGCGCCGTGGCCTGCGCACCGCCACTTGAGACCGACGTGTGAGGCTGGGCGCGCCTCTGGGAGATGCCCTCCCCCCAGGCCAGCGCCCACCACCGTCAACTGATCTGCCTACGAGCAGATGAAGCTCAGGTGCGAGGTGCGCCCATTGTCGCCAGTGCGCGCCTGTTTGCGCAGCGCGGATGCCTTCTTCCTGTCTCTTCGGGCTCGGCCTGGCTCTGGCGTGACCAAAGTAATACAAATACAGAGCCGGGGCAGCTGAGCAGTGCGCGTTCTTCTTCTGACGCCGTCGCTTCTGAAGCGGCCTGGGCAATGGTCGGAGTCCAGTGATTGAGGGCACACCGACCTCACCGCCCCGACCGTGCTCAAGTCAGGGCCCCTCCTGAAGGCTGTGCAAGCCCCTCGTCAACTCCCAGAAGGAAACGCGACCATCGCCCTTCAAGTCGAAGGCCTTGCGCGTCCCACACGGCGCAGTACTATCGAGGCGGCGACGCAGCACAGCCTTGAAGACGGCTTCCGCCACGTCAGGTGTCGCGTCGAAGCCCAGGCTGGCAAGGGCCCCCTACGCTCGGCGGCATTGGCCGACTCCGACCCGGCCGCAGGGGCCTGGAACTCCGCTGCGTCGAGGCCGCCGAGCTTCTTCTTGTCCCATTGCTTGAAGGCTTCTCGCAGGTCAACCTCCCAGCGGATACAACAGATGCAAGCTGCGCCGCTGCGCCGGCCAGCATGCCTCTTTGTCGAAGATCGCATCAGCGATCCGCGCGGCAGAGCGACGGACTCCCATCTCAGAAGAGTCTTGAAGAACATCCTGACACACCAAGGACTGGTTTAAACAGGCAAGACTGCTTGGTCAAGTTACAATGGACATTGCAGTGGTCCTTCTTCGGCGCACTAGCTTTTCCTGGTGGATACATGCTGTCTACGCTTTGGGTTGAGGTGCTCTGCCAGCCTGGGGCTGACAAACGGCGCTTGGAGGTGTCTGGGGCCTTCCTGGAGACAAAAAATCGACACGCGGGCCTGTCTTTGATCAGTACATCGCGCAGCTAGAGATGAACACTCGGGCCCAGGCGCGGCCGCTTGTTCCCTTTCCTCGCACACAAAGTCCATGAACTCCGCCTTGCTGGCAGAGCAGGCCGGCTTGGACAAAAAAGCAGATCCAAACACACACGTTTGGCAGGGCACGCAGGCGAAGCGACCGCTGCCGTGAAAGACCTGACTCTCCCAAAGTTCCCTCCCCTCTTTGCCTGAGTTGCGCCTCGAAGGGTGCGAAGACGGCCTTCAGCTGCTTCTCGGCCACGCGCATGCCCAGGCGCTCCGAAGCTCGCTTGAACTGCTGGAAGCTCACGGTGCCCGCCTCTTTTGAAGCTCCCAGCACAAACGTCACGAACATCTTAGGCCCTGGCAGAGTCTTGGCCCACGGCCGCGAACACCTCCTGCGCTCAGGCACCCAAAGCGCAAGGCGCGGGTGTTGGGATCCGGCGGAAGGCCACGGCCCCTTGCAACTCGGGCCTGCAAGACGACCCTGTTGGAGCGCACATCTCTGCGCGTGCGCTTGGCTGCGTGCAATTTCACCTCTAGACTTTGGGCAAAGGGACGAGAGATGACCAGCGCAGCCGAGTGCAACGCTCACATGCGTTGAGGCTCCGGCTGCGATGTCGGCTCTCAGCTTTTCATCGCGGACCTACGGTTGACCGGCGACACTCAAAGTCAACGCACACATCTCATGCTCTATCCCTGTCCCTCAATGCTACACAAAGGGCTGCGGCAGAAGGGCCGGCCCCCATGGCTCAAATCTTCACATCATGCTCGATCCTGACAGACCTTGTCTGCACTAGTTGGGTCAGCTTTATTGCATGGTCAAGGTTGGTTTCCCTGGCTGAGTGGCTTTTGTGGAATTCTGCTTCCCACCACATGTCATGCCACCATGTGCCTGTCTGGCACCACTGCGGGGATTTGCTTTCAAGGCTGGCATGCGCCCAAAGAATGCAGTGCATGACGCAGGTGCTTTCGATCGGTCGGTGCGCTGCACGAGCGGTCTGAGACACGCACGTGTCAGACGTGCTGTCCTGGGTTGACTCCCACCCCACTCACTGGGGTTCTTTGTACAGGTCCGGGTCGAAGGTGGACAGGACAGAATCGCTCTCATCTGCCTGCACGGCGTCCTCCAATGAGGTCCATCGAGACTTCCACCCACTCTTCCAGCAGTGAAGTGCCAAGTAAACTACCAAGAAGGGAAGCGGAAGCAATGCCAGCAGCTGCATGTAGGTGCCATAGAGTGCTGCCAAACCAAGCAAGGATAAGGTACTAAGGAGCAAACCAACCAGCACACAGTTGAAGAGGTCATACCAAAATGCCCCGCCGCTGTCAAACTCCGCATCATAAACATAAAGGAACAACCACCGGTAGCAAAGTGCAGCAAATGCAAAGTAAACGGCGCAGACTGGCAGAATAGCCGGGGCAATGAACGAGTACGAGAGGCCAATAACAAACACCAAGGCAATGTTGGAAGCCTCATAGCCGTATGCGCAAGCTATCTTCTTTTGTGCATCCCTGCGACAGGAGCAAAAGAACTGCGTGTGCAGGAGCAAAAAAGGAATGCCGGTACAAGCCCTTGCCAACACAAAGGTCAGAAAGTAAACATTGGCCTTTGGCAAGGAGTGGGCCAGAATGTCAAGCACCTGCTGAGGGTGGTCCAGGATCTCCTGCAAAGAATCCCACAAGGAGCCGGAAAGCACCGTGACGTACAAGGAGGCCAGCTGGTAGCTGAAGCAGCGGCTAAGGATAGTGCGCTGGATCCTTGACTTGGTGGTGTGGCCCTCGTAGCCCTGAGCCATGGCACCAAACACGGCAGGCAGGCATGCCTGCAAGCCCATCAGGGCGAGGACTGGCAAATAGCTTGTGAGGAAGGAGTAGGCAGTGGGCGATATCCCTTTCAAGTCAGTGACAGCGGGAAACCAGCGCGAAAGCGTACCAATGTTGGCCCAGGCCTGAATAAGCGTCACTGGCACAGACCAGAAAAGCATACATAACACCGTAGCCGCCATGCCAAGTCTGTGGTGCAGTTTCGTCTGGGCCAGCGGCCTCGTCACATTTTGCCACACCAAGTCCCGGGGTTCCGGCGCAGCGCAGACCTGCCAGCCGGGCGCGTGGCTCAACACCACCTGCGGCGCCGCCACGCACTGCTCGGCGGACCGCAGGGTGACGAAGGCCGTGGAGCCGACGGCCGCCACCCCGGCCGCCTGCAGCAGCTGCGCCGCCGGCTGAGCGTTGAGTCCCAAGCCCAACCCAGCCGACCCCGAGCTCGAGTCGCAGGTCCCGGCGCGGGTGCAGCAGTACACAGCGCCCCGGCCATAGATCCGCTCGAAGAAGGCCGTGACGCCGAGATCCGACCAGCTGTTCTCTGGCACCTCCTGTACCATCAAGGACCTGCGGGTCTGTGCAGCAGCGGCGCCACAGGCGCCTGAGACCGCTTTTACAAAGTGCTGCCTGCGGATGCTGACAAATACCCGCCATTCTGCAAGAACCAGGTACGCAAAGGTGGAGGTCAGCATGTATGCAGCAACGACGACGCACCAAAAGCGGGTTGAGCCACCGATCTTCAAGTTGGAGAGGCTAAGCACGTTGAAGCCGGCCGCCTCACCAGGCCCAGTCGCGTACATTGGCAGAAGGATCAAGGACAGGGCAGTGCCCAGCAGGCTGAACTTCAAGCCCAGCTGGCAGAAGCGCACCAAGATCAGCGCATCCGGCTCCAGGTCCAGTGGCTGATGCCGGCTCTGCCACGCGGAGGCCGCCCACGCGCAGAAGCCCCCGGAGAGCAGCGAGGGGAACCGCGAGCACAGGACGCCCACGCGCTCCGGCGCAGGCAGCTTGGGCGCCAGCTGGCCACGAGCATCCCGCCTCCGTAGCAGCAACTCGTAGGCCAAGACGAAGCCCACAAGCAGCAGCCCGTTGGTCAAGAGAGAGAAACGCACTGTGTCTGCGCTGTTGTCCTCTGCCCCGGGAACTGACGGCATGGCTCGGGCTGGTTGCTGTCCGTTGAGGTGCACATGATGTCATGGTGTTTGTTCGGTGTTTTGTGGTTACTTGATGCTCTTACCCATAGAGTCGACAATTCCTGGGCTGAAAAATGGCAAATGCATCTGGCCATTGCGTGCTTGGCAGGGTCACGCGGACTGAAAAAAACATGCCCTGCTCCTTTTCCGGAGCACAGGTGAGCACCGATGCAACTCCTCCTTCTCATGCTTCGACGCGCATTGAGCTCTCGAACAAGTCACTTATGTGAAGGGGCACAGTACCTGAGTACCTGAGTACCTGAGCTCAAAGCAACCCGATCGAGCATTCACTTAGAGGTATTCCTGGGTGCCGGCATTTGGGCCGCCGCTCTCCGCGATTCCAGGGAACGCCCCAAGACCTAGAGCTCTTTTAAAGCCTCCTCTGGAAAGGTCCGCGCTGAAACCTCGGAACACGAGATGAAAAGTGGCTAAAGGCCAGCGACCAAGCACCACGAGTGCGGCAAAGAAGCAGTCGGCCAAAGCCTCCGCACATGGCACAAAGTCATAAGGGCAAGGGTGACATGTCTTGACATGTCTTGACATCCATGCTATGCCCCGGGCTTCTCCACTTTGCCATCTGCACCGATGAGAACCGCCCAGCGCTTCTCGGCGACCTGAGCAAACTATCTCCGCACGTGAAGCCACCTACCCAGCATCACCCAGCCAAGCCGCCCCCATGGCAGCAGAGAACGACAGCGCCTCGCAGAGCAGCGGAAAGGAGAACCTTAGCTCTGACCCAATTGATATCAATTGATCCGAGCTTTTTTTATCCGCGGCAAGGTGCGAAAACTTGGTTGCGAAGGCCTGGTTGGCAGCCTGGGAATCACCGGAGCCTGGCAGTTTGCAGCTCTGACGACACGTTGTGTTGAAGCAACTGCTCCAGCCTCCCATGATGGTAACATTTTTCTCAGCAAACTTCTCCAGCAGGCTTTGGAAGCCCTGCCCCTCCGCAGTTCAGCCAGGAGTATCCGCCTCATGGTCTGGAACCCAGAAGCCAAATACATGGCTGCCTGCGCCTTCGGATAAAACCAGATCAGGGTCTTCTTGCCCGACGCTTGTAGAGTCTTGAGGCTAACCTCGCCGACTCACGGAACGGCCGGCTCATCGAAAGGTCAAAACCGGCGCCTCGCTGCCGGTGTGGTCCTTCAAACTGAAGTCCGGCGCGGCATCACCGACCCCCGGCATTGCTAGCATGCGCAGCTTAAGCAATAACGTGCTGCGTGCCCATGCCACTGGCAAGACAAGCGATGCCAACAGATCTTTAAGACTTCAAGAGCAACACCAAGGCTCGCGGGCTTTTCTTTCGCAGATTCGGGCTGCGCGGCGGGAACGAAGTCGATCCTCTTCCGGCGATCCTCTGCAAAGTAGAGGGATGCTGCCTGCAGGCCAGGAGGGCAGAAGTACCACACACCCCATGCAAAGTGAGCACCCACTGTAGGCCGACTGAGCCGCTCGCGCTGAAAGAGCCAGATATGGGTGGTACAAAAGATCCTTGGCAGAACTGCTCAGCTCGCCCTGTGCCGGAGCGTAGCCCAGCCACGCCCGGCCTGTGCTTTTGGCCTTGCCTCGAGCATCGTAGGCTGAGCCGATGCGGCACCAATCTGAGCCTGAATCCACTGAACCTTGGCTCAATTCGAGGGCGATATGACTCCGCAGGCACTCGCGGTCTCTGGGTTTGCGGCGCGTAGGCCGGGACCTGCGCCTCTCTCCATCCCAGCCTGGACATCCAAAGGTCCCAACGCGAGTTCGTCCAGTTGAGGCAACGAGGCTAACGCCCAAGCCGGTGCGCGCAGTGTTGGGCTGTTGCCCCTCCACGACCGCCAGAAACCTCGGGCTCGCCCACGGTCCTCAAAGAGGGTTGTCGCTTCAGCACCCGACGTGCTGCTTGGCGCCGCAGATGGGCAGCCGCCCCAGGAGCGCATGATCTGCCCTGAAGGTAACTTCTGCACGCTTCGTCCCACGGCCCACCTCTGCCCAACCCAACCCTCCCACGTCCCACACCGGCAGGCCCGGGCGGGCCTGCCACTCCCCGGCGAACGGCTGCGAGGCCGGTGCCCTGCTCCAGGGCGCGGATGGCATGCGGAGAGCCAGGTGACGAGCTCTCATCCGACTCTCCTGCAGTGCCGGGCGCATTTTCTCTCCGACTCTCAACGAACCAGCCTTCTACATCCCAGCCGTCCGCACAGCGCTCATCCAAATCCCCAGCCATTCGGTCCCAAAAGGCGGCATCGGTGTACCTGACAACCAACATGAGCCATTTGGAGACCAAGGCCGGCCAAGCCGCGCAGCCGAGCAAACTTTGGGCGAGGTGCCACACCAGTCCGGATGCGTCCTGCTTGTCCCAAATGTTCTCCACAGTGTCCTGCAGCGACTGCCTGAACCGGAGAAATGATAAGCCATGCACCGCCTCGTACAGGTAGCCTGCGGCCGAGTCAAGGCGATCGCTCCTCTCATAGTGAGGCGCCTGCGACGTGAGCCACGCAGCAGGCAATCAATTCAACATAATTCAACCAGGCAGTTGGCACTTGGCACTTGGCAGTTGGCAGTTGGCAGTCAGCCTTCTCCAGGGGCTCATCGAAGTCATCGGGCTCTGTATCCAAGGGCCGGGACAAGTGGCGACCTTCCGCACCGTCGTGCCCATTGCTCTTGCCAAGCAACCTGTGCCCAGCCTTCAACGCCTTTTTCTGCGGCAGCATCACCTTACTGTTCATATTTAAAGTCATATTTACTTACAAGCCCCCAACATGGCCCCTTCAGTCGATTCAGAGGCCACCACTTGCTTCACTTTCTTCTTCGCTGAAAGCCACGCACCTCCCACACTCTGACACCAAATGACACCAACAAGAGCTGACTTCAGCATAGGGTGCTGGCATCCTCTTGGGATTTGTTGTGCTGGCACTCAGCCTCAGAGAATGGCTGGGGCTGAGTGCCGAAAGCAAGTCCATCAGAAAGCTTCCGGCTTTTGGCGCTTTGGTCGATCCTGAGCAAGCTGAAGTGACATCATGCGGGGCCCCATGTATCTTCAATGCCTCGATCGAAGCTTGCGCTTTCGCCTTTGCAGGTCCTCAGTCGCCAAGCCCCCCAAGGATTTCAAGGCTTTCAAGGAGCGCGGACTCTTGAGAGAAGCAAACAACGCCGCCGTGAACGACTTGGGGCCTTCCTGTTCCTGGGCGGCTGGGTGGACCGGGGCCGCCCTAAAAGGTGGGGACGCTTTCCTGGCTGGTTCTTGCAGGGCAAATAACACGAGCTGTTTGAGGGGCTCCTGCTGGAAAGCTTCGAGATCTGCGCAGCGTCTAGCGTTCCAAACATTTAGCCGTGGTCCGCCCGCCTTTTTCTGTTCCGTCTTTTGCTTCTCTTCCTCTTTGGTCCCCGATGTCTGGCCTTCTAGGCTGCAAGGCAGAGCACGGATCTGAGCGGTGCGGCCTTCGCAGGCAGAGGCCTCCATGGCCTCCAAAGCTCCGCCAATCCAAACGAAAGCAAGAGAATCGCGGCGCGCCTCTCTCCAGCACAAAGGCGGCGGAATTGTTGCGCTGCTTCGCGTGCTGCGCACTTTGGAAGGGACAATCCCAAGCCTGGCAGTGCCAAAGTGCTGCATGATTAAGTGAATCCAGCTCGCAATGCAGCTCTGTGAGCTTCATACCAGGCACCTCTTGATGACGGAGGCTGGCCTTGGGATGGCGAGCAATTGGCAGTGCCAGCTGTACAGTTCAGCTGGCGGGCAGTCTGCAGCTCCGAATGGCACCAAGCACCGCCGCTCTGCAGGTGCCCACGTTGCCCTGACCGACATGCGACAAAAGCTGACGCTGAGATCCCCGGAGGTTGTTGGGTCGCATCCGGTCGCATCTGGTCGCCCAGTGTACGTGTGCGAGCCTGCGGCAGTGCTGCAGGCGGGTCCAGCTCCCAAGTGTCGGCCTGCACGTTTTCAAAGCGCAGATCAACACTGTGCCAAACATTCTCTTTGTGTGTGCGTGTGCGTGTGCCCGTGCGCGTGCACGTGCATGCGGGCGTGCGGGCGTGTGGGCGTGCAAACACGTGTAGCACGCGTGGGGGCGCGCGAGCGTGCTGGCGCGCGTGCGGGCGTGTAGAAGGGTTGGCGGGTGGGCGTGTGCGTGTGCGTGTGCGTGTGCGTGTGCGCGTGCGCGTGCGCGTGTGCGTGTGTGCGTGTGTGCGTGTGTGCGTGTGTGCGTGTGTGCGTGTGTGCGTGTGTGCGTGTGTGCGTGTGTGCGTGTGTGCGTGTGTGCGTGTGTGCGTGTGTGCGTGTGTGCGTGTGTGCGTGTGTGCGTGTGTGCGTGTGTGCGTGTGTGCGTGTGTGCGTGTGTGCGTGTGTGCGTGTGCGTGTGCATGTGCGTGTGCGTGTGCGTGTGCGTGTGCGCGTGTGCGCGTGTGTGCGTGTGCGTGTGTGCGTGTGTGCGTGTGTGCGTGTGTGCGCGTGTGCGTGTGTGCGTGTGTGCGTGTGTGCGTGTGTGCGTGTGTACGTGTGTGCGTGTGTGCGTGTGTGCGTGTGTGCGTGTGCGTGTGCGTGTGCGTGCGCGTGCGCGTGCGCGTGCGCGTGCGCGTGCGCGTGCGCGTGCGCGTGCGCGTGCGCGTGCGCGTGCGCGTGCTCGCAGGCGTGTGCG